GATCAATCAATGTCAGGTTCTCCAAATAACAAAAAAACAACATTAAGATATGACATAAGACAACAACTGACAAGGTTCCAGACTTGGGATAGGCACATGAATATGAGGTGACCGTTGGGGTCAAACTAGTTTTTATACGCCCGTCAAATTTTTGACGGGACGTATTATGGTATACAAATGACCGGCGTCCGTCCGTCTGTCTGTCCGGTGTAAACATGTCGCACTGTAACTTGAGAATGACTTATCCAAATTTCATGAAACTTAACATAGTTGTTTCTTATGATGGTCAAACAATCTGTATACTTTTTGGTGAAAATAAGATTAAAACTTTTTGAGTTACGGGACTTAGTAACTAAAACAGGTGTGTGTTTTTATACGCCCGTCAAATTTTTGACGGGACGTATTATGGTATACAAATGTCTGGCGTCCGTCCGTCTGTCTGTCTGTCCGTCCAGCGTAAACATGTCGCACCGTAACTTGAGAATGACTTATCCAAATTTCATGAAACTTAACATAGTTGTTTCTTATGATGGTCAAACGATCTGTATACTTTTTGGTGAAAATAAGATTAAAACTTTTTGAGTTACGGGACTTAGTAACTAAAACAGGTGTGTGTTTTTTTTCACATGTCGCACCGTATCTCAAAAACAATTTATGATTATTGCTTAAAACTTTACACACTTCTTAGTTATATTAATCTTAAGATCTGTATACTTTTTGGTGATGATTCAAAATTTTATTTTAGAGATATTGAGTATTTTGTTAAAAAAGGGGGAGGGGTTTTTCACATGTCGCGCCGTATCTCAAAAACAGTTTATGATTATTGCTTAAAACTTTACACACTTTTTAGTTATATTAACCTTAAGATCTGTATACTTTTTGGTGATGATTCAAAATTTTATTTTTGAGTTATTGAGTATTTTGTAAAAAAAGGGGGAGGGGTTTTTCACATGTCGCGCCGTATCTCAAAAATGATTTATGATTATTGCTTAAAATTTTACACGCTTCTTAGTTATATTAATCTAAAGATCTGTATACTTTTTGGTTTTGATTCAAAATTTTGTTTTTGAGATATTGATTTTTTTTTTTTTAAAAGGGGGGTTTTCACATGTCGTGCCGTATCTCAAAAACGATTTATGATTATTGCTTAATATTTTACACACTTTTTAGTTATATTAATCTAAAGATCTGCATACTTTTTGGTTTTGATTCAAAATTTTATTTTAGAGATATTGAGTTTTTTGTAAAAAAAAAGGGGGGTTTTCGCATGTCACGCCGTATGTCAGAAACTATTTATGCTTATTGCATAAAAATTCACACACAAGACGACGGGCGTATCATGCGCTCATGGCGCAGCTGTTTATTGACATGTTAGTTTTGCAACAGTATTTTGTGGTGCAAACTGCATGCTCAATTTTTCGCCCATATGGCACAAAGGGCCAAATGAGCTTTTCTCATCAATTTGCTTCTGTCATTCGTTAAATTTTACAAAAATATTCTCCTTAGAAACTACTTGGCCATAATCATCCAGTTTAAAGAGATGTATTTGATGATCCTGCTTGCCAGGCAGCATGGCTTGAAATAGAACATTAGGTGAAATGCAAGTATTGTCTATTATTTTTGGAAATTGCTATAGAAAGACAGTCTGAAATGGGCATAAATGTTCAGAATGTAAAGATCTGTCCAATGTACATTTCCATAAAAATTGCCAGATGACTTCTTACAGGAGTTATTGCCCTTATATGAAGAATTTTTTTTGACATTTATCTTAAAGCCTATAAAAGGTAGACAAAAAATGATCAGTTAGATAAGATCTACAGATAAGTCAACATGGCCAGAATTGTCAGTCACCTCCTTAAATGTGTTGTTGCCCCTAAATTATGATCTTTACCAATTATTTTAAAACATATAATAGATAGAGAGAAATACAACAAAAATGATTAGCGAGACAAAATCTATTAATAAGTTAACCTGGTCAAAATTGTTAGTCAACCCCTTGTAGGAGTTATTGCCCTTTAATGATGGTTTTTACACATTTTTGGCAAGAATTATAGTACATGCAGATAAAGCAAAAATTATTAGCAAGACAAGAACTACACTTAATTAGGGCCCCGCCGAATTGCGGCCACCCTATATTGATCAGTCTGTCTGTCCGTCCGTCCGTCCGTCCATCCGTCGGTAACAAATTGTGTCCGCTCTATATCTAGAGAACCGTTATGATTTCAAAGTTTATACTTGACATGTATATTAACCAACACCAGAGGGTGTGTCATAATGTATGTTCAACTTCCTAGGTCAAAGGTCAAGGTCAAAAACTTTGGTTTTAGTTGACAACCCCATGTCCTATGGTAAAGATCGTGTCCGCTCTATATCTTGAGAACCGTTATGAGTTCAAAGTTTATACTTGATATGTATATAAACCAACACCAGAGGGTGTGTCATAATTTATGTACAACATCCTAGGTCAAAGGTCAAGGTCAAAAACTTTGGTTTCATTTGACAACCCCATGTCCAATGATAAAGATACAAATATTTTACCACACATTATTCACAGCCGGGCCCACAGAGATGGCTCCCATCTCAATGATATCTAGTTCACATAGCCAAAATTATCAGTCAACTCCTAATAGGAGTTATTGCCCTAAAAAGGCTTTTTGTCCCCTGCCCAATGCTTTACTGGGGACATAGAAATATTGGGCGTCCATCCATCTGTCTGCCTGTCCGTCCAGTTTTGTTAGTGCTCTCACATGTACAATTTTTGCCAGATTTTTATAAATATTATATTATAGGTTTATATCAGCAATGTCTCATATGAGTTCGATAATAAAAGCTGATGAACTATTTTAAAAAGAGTTGTGCCCCTTGGAAACATTAATTATATGGAAAATTGCATCGTTAGCTCTCTCATGTGTACAATTCTTGCCAGATTTTTGGGAAACTTATATTGTAGGTTTATATCAGCAATGTCTCATACTAGTTTGAAAATCAGTGCTGATCAATAGTTTTTAAAAGAGTTATGACCAATAGAAATATTAATAATATAGAAAATAGCATTTTTAGAGCTCTCATGTGTACAATTCTCGCCAGATTTTTATGAAACTTATATTGTAAGTTTATATCAGCAATGTCTCAGACAAGTTTGAAAATCAGTGCTGATCAATTATTTTTGGAAGAGTTCTGCCCCTTAGAAAAATTAATTATATGGAAAATTGCAATGTTAGTGCACTCATCTGTACAATTCTTGCCAGATTTTTATGAAACTTACATCATAGGTTAATATCAGCAATGTCTCGGACAAGTTTTAAAATCAGTGCCGATCAATTATTTTTAAAAGTTATGCCTCTTAGAAGTATTAATTATATGGAAATCTTCATTGTAAGCGCTCTCACATGTACAAATTTTGCCAGATTTTTATCAATATCATATCAGCAATGTCACGGACAATTTCGAAAATAATTGCTCATGAAATATTTTTAATGAGTTATGGCCCTTGGAAATATTAGATATATCAGCAATTGCTCTCAAGTCTTCAACTCTCTAAGATAATTTTAAAAAGTTTAAAAAAACATTTTTTTTTTTTTTTAAAACTATTTGTATTGACCCTGGAAAGATAAAATATGTGCAATGTGGGGGACATTGGGCCTCTGTTCTTTTATTGTTTTTAAGTTTTGGGTAAAAACTATAGAAGTTAGAGAGAAACTGTAAAAAGCAAAAATGATCATCAAAACTTATTTTAGGTCAACATTGCCAAAATTGTCAGTTCATTTTCTAAAGGAGTTATTGCCCTTAAATAACAATTTTGTACCCATTTTTTGCATTTTGTTCCAAAAAAATTACATAAAGAGAACAAAAGAGATTTTAGTCATATATATTATCTAGTCAATAATGTTAAAGATGCACATTGATCCAGGTGAGCGACAAGCTCTTTATACACCCAGCTTCACCGTGGGGTTGAGTTGGCTGCAGTTTTACATTTAAATGTCATGTTACATACTAATTATACCCCCGCTTTAAAAAAGGGGGATATACTGTTTTACCTCTGTCTGTCCTTCCATCAGTCTGTCAGTCCATCCGTCCGTCCCATGAATATTTTCGTCGCATTTTTCTCAGGAACTACTTGACAAGGATTTCTGAAATTTGGTTTCAGGGTTTATATATGTGAGTTACACCGTGTGATGCGTTTTCAGATTCATCACTCAACAACTTCCTGTTTACCAAACACTTGTATTATTTTACACATGATAGCCAAGTTGAAAATTTTCGTCACATTTTTCTCAGGAACTACTTGACAAGGATTTCTGAAATTTGGTTTCAGGATTTATATAAGTCAGTTACACCGTGTGATGTGTTTTCAGATTCATCACTCAACAACTTCCTGTTTACCAAAATATTTTGGTGGGGGTATCATCAGTGAGCAGTAGCTCACAGTTTTACCTGTTGTTTTAACTATTATTGGTTGATTTCACCATAGGCTAGACTATTCATAGACTACTGGGAATTGGGAAGCCTGTCCAAGATAGAGACTTTGCATATATATATATATTATAAAGGCCTCATATATATATATATATATATATATATATATATATATTATACATAATAATTTGTCTTTACTTCATTTTCACTCAAATATCTTTGTATAAGTTCACTTAGTTTTTTATCAGGTGAGATTTGTGTCACTAATTGATATTACATAGTCGGATATTATTGGGACATTAAAAACCCTGATTGTCTGTGGTTAAATGTAAAAATTTCGGCCAGACTGATTAAAATAAGCTTGTAAAACCTGCATTTAAACCTAACCTAATAAAATTGTAGTAAATCTTGAAATTTCATAATAAAAAGAAATATTATTAAAGAAAAAAAACCTGTTGTGTATTATTGACAGCAACACAATATGATGATTATGTCATTAAATTAGCAGGATATTTCTGATTCCAGAAAAACAGGATAAACGGGTTCTTAATGCTAGTTTGTCATCTTTTTCTTTTCTATTTCAGTCTGATGTAAAACCATAATCTATTGTTATCACAGACAGAAGATAGAGTAGTAGCCGTTGATGTGGAAAATTTTGTGATTTACCTGTAATTCTCACCTGTACATCTTGTTATAGCTGTTTCACTGCATGTTCTATAACAATAGTGGCGATTTCTCAGAGATTTAATTATCAGCTCGTTGATAATTTATTAATTAAAGGTAAGTTGGTTTTGTTATGGTAATTGATTTGTTTGCAGTAAAAAATTCTGTACAAAACTACATTGAAAAACACCGGAAAATGATTTATATCAATCAAATGAATTTTAAATTTCATATTTTACATAGATTTTTTTCAGATATTTATGAACTATCGTAAAAGCATGAAAGATCTTTTATCACATTAAATTTCTTTCAAGAGAAATTAATTCAAATGCTGTATAAAATATTAAGAGGTTTTTGAATTTTAGTTTCATGCCTGAATTGAATTTTTGACTGGAAGAAGTGATTATAGAGGGTGGAACTGTTGAAATAAATAAATGTTATGTAATCCTATTTTTGTACATGGATTAGGCATAGTTTGATGATATTTCATCTATATATGTATTAACACATGCTGGATTAGGCATAGTTTGGCTATGTTTCATTTATACATGTATTAAGACATGCTGGATTAGTTATAGTTTATTGATATTTCATTTATACATGTATTAAGACATGCTGAAAAATGATAAAAAGATTCCTCATAATGAGACCTCCTGCGACTTATTCAGCATGTTTAGTTCCTTGTAAAGTTCGTGACTGGGCTGTTCTATAGATTCTACCACTGTTTTGAGTGAGAATTCAGACAGTTAAGAATTTAAGATATTTGAAATTTACTATCCATGCAGTGATGAGAAATATCCCATGAGATACAGTGATGGAATCTGTTAGTTTAATAACTTTAACGCAATATGTTTGCAGACTTCAAAATTCTTTATATTATTGATATGCAAAACTTATATTTTTTCTCCAAGACATCATCAGGCATCAGGTGGTCTTTTTCTTGACATCACAAAGGTAAGATTGAAAGACAGCTACCCAAAAGAAATGCAATGCAAACTCCAACCCTCTTTAATATGCAACTTTAATTACCAATTATACAACTTAAATCTATCCTCTTCTATAATTATCAGCAAATTTAAACCATTCCATGTACTTAAATCATCATTGGAGTACAAAAGTTAGCACCATATTTCTGATATGCCTGGAGAGGCAATAATTGTGATAAATAAATATAGGTTTAAAAGGGAAGTATAAATACTGTCTCTTGTTTACTTGATGAAAACCTTTGGAACTTTCTGAACTTTCACTTTCCTTATTTTGTGGAATTTATTACCCATAATATTTCCAGTTTTTGGTTAAAACTAGATTTGTTTATCATTGTTTGTTTTACTCATTAGGCTAATTATAGGTATATCTACCACAGAATATATGGTTATGATAAGTAATTTAGGCGTTGATACATTGGGAGAAAGCGTGGAAACAGTTTACATTACCGTGAAACAGGTTATTGGAACCAAATAAGGCCTGTAAATAGAATCATGACCTCGTAAAGACATTTGTTAATACCACAAGGTTCAAAAACATAGTATTGCACCTATCCCATAATTCATCACTTTTCTTCTGCTGCTTTTAAACAAAACTTGATTTTGCTGCTTTGTTCTACACCCATCTCTATTTTATTGGACAATAACAGCTAGATTAAAAAAAAATAATAATAATAAAAATTTATGTTATGTATATTGATAGTATAGTATTTTGTAAAGGTTTGATGTGGGAAGATATGTCATCATAAAATCTGTCAGTCATAACAACACAAAACATATCAAATACATTAAAATATATATCTTGTCACATATATAGATTTATACAATGTTTTACATACTTGATCATTATGATGGAGTTTATTAGAAGAATATTAAGTATACATAAATGTGACAGCATATATACAATGATTTACATAAGAATAATAGAATATAAACCTTGATATGTTAACCAATCGGACATTTCCTAGTCAATGACCTGACAAATTTATCTCTTCTGTCGCAGAAAGCTCGACATAGGGATAGTGATCCGACAGCGGCAGCGTTAACTCACTTCTTAAAAGCTTAATATTTCAGAAGGTAGAAGACCTGGATGCTTCATACTTTGTATATAGATGCCTTAATATGATATGAAGTTTCAGTCTGTCGTATGTTCATTGTCCTTGACCTCATTTTCATGGTTCAGTGACTATTTGAAAAAAAAAGTTAAGATTTTTTGTTATGTTAATTTCTCTCTTATTATGAGTAATAGGATAACTATATTTGGTATGTGCGTACCTTGCAAGGTCCTCATGCCTGTCAGACAGTTTTCACTTGACCTCGACCTCATTTCATGGATCAGTGAACAAGGTTAAGTTTTCGTGGAAAAGTCCATAGCTCAGATACTATAAGCAATAGGTCTACTATATTTGGTGTATGTAATGATTGTAGGTGTACATCTGACCTTGACCTCATTTTCATGGTTCAGTGGTAAAAGTTTAGTTTTTGTGTTTTGGTCTGTTTTTCTAATACTGTATGCATTAGGTCAACTCTATTTGGTGTATGGAAATATTTTACGATGTACATGTCAGTCTGGCAGGTTTTATTTGACCTTGATCTCATTTTCATGGTTCATTGCTCAATGTTAAGATTTTGTGTTTTGGTCTGTTTTTCTAATACTGTATGCATTAGGTCAAATTTATTTGGTGTATGGAAATATTTTACGATGTACATGTCAGTTTGGCAGGTTTTATTTGACTTTGACCTCATTTTCATGGTTCATTGCTCAATGTTAAGTTTTTGCATTTTGGTCTATTTTTCTTAAACTGTAAGCAATAGGTCAACTATAGTTGGTGAATGGAATGATTGTAAGGTGTATATGTCTGTCTGGCAGGTATCATCTGACCTTCACCTCATTTTCATGGTTCATTGGTCAATGTTCAGTTTTCCTTGTTAACTTTGTTTCTTAGATACTATAAGCAATAGGTCAACTATGTTTGATGCATGGAATGATTTTAAGGTGTACATGTCTGTTTTCATTGGGCAATATAAAATTTCCATGGTTTGGTCTGTTTCTTTTATACTATAAGCAATAGTTCATCTATATTCGGTGTATGGAATGATTGTATTAAGGGTGAACATTTATTTCCGACTTGGTTTATCTGACCTTGACCTCATTTTCTTGGATCATAAATGTTACATAAAGCAATGGTCAGTATACATGTAGTAGGAAGACATTTTTAAGTTATATTTTTGTGGCATTGCTAACATCTTTGGGAATTATATACAGTATTTATTATGATATTGTTTATTATGTTGTACAACTGTGAAATTATCAACATACCCCCCAAAAACTGAAAAAATTATAGGTTTATAGTTCATGAGTTGCTTAATGTTTTTAATTCTTTTGAATAAGTTTGGAAAAAACTCAGTCATGGTGACCTATATATTTCGTGTTCTTTGTACACATCATTACTTGAGGTAGGTTTTATCCTCAACATTTTTAAGTCAGAGACTATACTAGATACTACTGTAAACCTCAAATTAGAATACCTTAAAGATCTGTGAAATAGGAGCTGCTTTAACTTTCTCAGAGCACCAGAATTAATGTAAGGTTTCTGTTGTTCAATCGTTAGTTTTCTGTTTAGTGTTTTGTGGACTATTGTTTGTCTGTGCATAACTTTCAGTTGAAAATGATGGTGTCAAATTTTCTTCGGCTTATAGTTATTAGGGCCCTGCCTAGTGGCGAGTCGCCCTATAGTGATCAGTCCGTCTGTCCGTCCGTCTGTCACAAATTGTGTCCGCTCTATATCTAGAGAACCGTAATTTCATACTTTATACTTGACATGTATATTAACCAACACCAGAGGGTGTGTCATAATGTTTGTTGGTACAACTTCCTAGGTCAAAGTTCAAGGTCAGCGGGGCCCACAGATATGGCTCCCATCTCAATGATGTCTAATTATTGCCCTATTGATAACCTCTCCCCCTTTTTATTGCCATAGTATTATATATTCAGCCATCCTTTAGCATAGTCCCCATTATTACTGGAGTATGATATTTCAAGGTACATCTTTTGTTTTTGTCCAAAGACCTTCATTTGTTAAAGAGTGGTTTTTCTCATAAATATCTGTGGACAGAAAAGAAATGTCTTTATTTAATTGAAACCTTTCAATAATTCTCTTTGGAATTGTATCTTTAATCAGTTTAATTGTGTTTGTTTGATCTTTAGAGGAATTCTTTATTTTGATGAATAATTCAAATTGAAAATAACTATTTTCTATTTGTTTTGTTTAGTGTCAGTATTAGTACTTACCATACAAATGGAGGTGATGAGTATTTGGGATGATCAATTAACACAGGACATGTAATTAGTTATGTATTAGTTTAATATTATTTTCCCCTGATTTCTGCTTTTTTACATAATTATTGGATTTGGAATGAAGGTTATGGTGAATAATTTAGATATTAATTACAGTCTTGGTGATATAAGTTACATGTATCTTGAGGAATAGGGTCACTGTCTAATTAAGAGAATTAACAGAAACAGAAACAGAAAAATAAATCAATATATCTAAGAGAAAATATCAGATTTATTATTGGAAAATGAAATCAACATGTATGAATAAAATTATAGACTGCATGCAAATGAGAAAAAACCTAAAAAGATATTGAAATATTACTTTTGATAAGGGCATGATAGATTCTTGAGTTGCAACTTAAGCAGACTGAGTCATTACTCATACACACTCTGCTTGAAATTTTTGCCACTGGAAGAAATAGAAAAATAAAATGGATCTAAGTGATTGCCATAATTTTGATTTAACCTAACCTTTTTAATTAACATAATCTTAATTGAAGGTGGCCTGAATTATCAACATTATTTTGTTTTTAAATCTGACAGGGTCATAATGTTGAAAAATACAAACCGCATCTTGGTCAATGTAAAAAAAGACCACAATAAATGGTCATCAATTTATATTTCATAATATGTCCTCTTTTTATCTTTATGATTTTAAACTACCATTGACAGACTGTTGATTCAAATGAAATATTTTTTGTGTTAATTTTCATGAAATTATATAATTAATTGTGCTTTAAAGCTGATATTACAATTACCTCTGTCACAGTTGATCTTATATAGTGTAATATCAAAAG